ATAGTATGTTGCATTAAAAATAGCAATAGCCTGTGGTACCTTGGAACTTAATTGGCTGGAATACTTTTTTCAATGTTCTAAGTAGTGCAGTTTCAGAGAATGTGAGTCTTCCTAAAAATCCGCATTCACACGTAATTAAATAAACAATAGTAATAAAAACAAAAACAAGGCAAAATGTGAGAAACGGAATAAAAAAAGACAAAGAGATCAAAAGCATGTAGCACTAAGCCAAATAAAAAATCAAATGTCACGAAAAAATCAATCAAGAAAAATAATTCGATTCCAAGTGTAGAAATACACAAGACAGATCTTAATAAAAATTTGTTACATGATCAAAACTTTTTCGTGATTATGACTCACAAATGAATTTGAGACAACAATTATGAATAACTCAAAATATCTATCACAGAACAGCGACTATATTTGAAGGGAAAATTGAATCATTCTCTCATAACTGAGTCACGGTTTTATTCCAGTATGAGACATCTGAATGACTCGTGGTTATGACGTGGCGTTTGAGTTGTGCAATAATGTGTTCTTTCTGTCATATAAAATACTATTTCACAGTATTTACCTTATATTTACTTTTTTTTACTTATTATCTCACCATAATATGGCTACAGCAAATAATTCTCAAACTTCAAATGCCGTAGACGAATGTTCGATTTGTTTGAGTTCATTGACACAACAAGGTCTTGATATATTTACTACAGCATGTAAACATCAATTTCATTTTCAATGTTTGGCCAAAAATGTTCAAGCACAAAACAATGAATGTCCTTTATGTCGAACTCGTCTTGATTCTTTGGTTAATATACTCAATGCATCATCGACTACTAATCAATCACTACCTATTCAACAGGTTTCAACACAGCCCATAATACCCATACAAACTTCACCACCACCAGCAAACAATACAGGTGTTTGGGGTACATTAACGAAATCATTAAGCAATGCATTTAGTTGGATTAGTGGTGGTTCAAACAGAGCTGCTTCTTCGTCTAATCATAACAATGCACAGTCGATATTCAATGTAAATATTTATGATCAAAGAAAACAACATATCTTTTCACCTTATTTTCATTTAGTTTTCTACTGATACTTCGTCCTCAGAAGATCTCATTGACGAGGAAGCTGTTCGTATTCTTTCAGCTCGTATTAATGCTGCTCGACAACAATCTATTGAAGATTATTCTCAGTTTCCTTTGATTACTACAACTACTACACTAGAATTTGGTGCTCAAGAATCAACAAAAGAATCTAACATTTTTGGAATGGTTACATTAAAAGCGCCATCATTACTTTCAAAGACAGCAAGTGAAAAAGAACTTGATGAATTACATGTTCCTCTCGATCTTATTTGTGTTGTTGATCAAAGTGGTTCAATGTCGGGAGACAAAATAGCTTTACTAAAAGATACACTAAACTATATAGTTGATCAAATGGGTTCATTAGATCGATTAGCTGTTATTTCATTTGATACTCGAGCATTCGATCGATCGAAAGGTCTCAAACTAATGACAACACAGAAGTAAGTATATCATCTTTATTCCATATGAATATCAAATTGATATTTCTGTTAAGCAAACAAACTCTTCGAAATGCAATCACACATCATATTCAAGCGAATGGTGGTACATATATTGGTAAAGGTCTTGAAATGGCAATTCAACTGTTGAGAAATCGTCGAACAACTAATTCATTAGGGGCTATGCTTCTTCTTACTGATGGACAAGATAATCAACATCATGATTATTCATCATTAATGAGATCATTGCCTGAAAGTGTTGTTTGTCATACATTTGGTTATGGTTCTGATCATAATGCTGCATTACTTTCTCAACTAGCTGAACAAGGTCATGGAGGTACTTTTACCTATATTGATCAAGTTGATGCAGTTGGTCATGCATTTGCTACAGCACTTGGTGGACTTTTTACATGCATTGCAAAACAAATACATGTTAAATTACAATTCAATGATGATTATAAAATTACTCATAGTCATACAATTTATCAATATGAACCAAAAGATTTACCATCTCGTGAAATAACGTACAAAATGACTGATCTGAATGCTGATGAATGTCGAAATCTTGTTTTTCAATTACATATACCAAAACTTCATCCATCAAATGAAAACAGTTCAAATGATCATACCATTGGTAATTGAAGAATTAATTTAATATTGAAAAGAAATCTTATGATTGATTTTCATTGTAGGTCATGTATCTCTTGAATATAGAGATGCCAATACTGATCAGATAGTTCATACACCTCATGTTCCATTTATACTTGCTCGTCCAAATCAAATAGATCCTCGATCATCACTTTTACAAGTCAACTATGAACTTGATATACAACGTAATCGATCAGAAACAAGTCAAGTATTGAAAGAAGCAGTTAAAGAAAATAACTATGAACGTGCTCGTGCTATGATCAATAGTCAAATAGCAAAAATTCGTTCATCAGTTTCAGCTGAAAATCCACTATGTCAACAACTAATACGTGATTTAGAACATCAATATTTAAATCAACGGGAGTTTCAAACAACAATGACAAATATGTATATGCAACATGGACAAGAACGTGCAACATATTCAACGATTGCAACAGTTAGTGCAAATTGTTATATGACATCAGGTCAAGAACGTTTTCGAAGCAAATATAGATCTTAAACTACAAGACAAAGGCTAATTTTCTTTTACAATTTCGGTTTTATATTGTTTCGGATTTCTTTTGTCTTTGATGACTGTTTATTCAATTAGATTTCGATTCGTTTGACCGATCATTCGAGCATCAACATCGATTCATTTATTATCACTCCCTAAACATAAATTTAAAGAATTGTGAAATTCTTACCGACATAATCCACTTGTGTAACAATGAGAAATTAATTTAATTTAATTTGTTTCGGATTGAATATAACTAAAAGCTTTCTTGTAATATCATCGATGATTTGCTACAAAATTAAAAATAGATTTTAAGTCAAATGTGTGAATGATCGAAATATGATATCGTATAACAAGTGAAGAAAGAATATCAAATAAACGTAATCGAACGTGTGGGTGTGGGTGTCAGAGAGAATGGGCAACTCACAAAGACACTCAGACCCGCAGCTACAACCATACGAGCTTTCTCTAGATGCCTCGTTAGAGTGTTTATGGCTGAAAACTTCAGAAAATAGTCTTAAAAAAGAAAATTCGATAGGATAAATCGAGCAAGCACAGCAATGATTATTTTTATATAATAAAAAGGAAAAGTAAAATATAAGAAAGAAACAGAAAAACAAATAAATTACACTGAAAACAAGACACACTTTTACTACTAGTAGTTGTGATGGTCGATGTTGTTGCTGTTGCATCGGGGGATGAAGTAGAATTGATAATGAAGCAATTATTTCCCGCAATACATGTGGCATTCAAACCGATGTATTCGCCAAATAGTTTCACACGTGCAGCTGATAACACATCGCAATTAGGATAAGCATCAATAAAAGTAGCAGTAGTTATATTCGTATTAAGGACAAGAGTTTGATCCGTTCTGGGTAAATATGGAGGCCATGTTATACTAATATTATCGTTCGGTTGATGTTTTGTAATCATATTTGTCCAATATGTACGAGTAGATTTGACCAAATTCCATTCATTGGGTAAAAATATTTGGTCACCATAAAGTGAAGGCGATGCTGTTTGAAATAAATTCAATAGCTCTGCGGAATGATATGCTCCTGGCCAAATAACTAAGCTTGGTAATGACAACCAAAACGATTCTGGTGCATGATTATATGTATAAAGATATATAGGTTGTTCAGCCATATACCCAGCCATACGACGAGCACCACAAATAAAAGTTTCTTGAGACATTAATGCCACGAAAGCTTTTGAATAATTACTATTGAACAGATTCAGAGTGTATAGAGCTTCAATTTCAGACTGATTGTAGGTCACTATTGGTAGAATACGATTTAAATAATCTTCTGAACTTTTTGGTGGATGAACGTATTCTTCATATAGAACACATAAAAGAAATTCATCATGAGTCGCTCCCAACAGTATAGGTATACGATTAAAAGTGCCTGACAAGAAGATTTGTAAAGGATGAGTAGGTATTTCTACTCCGTCCACGATAAAATTGAAGGGAAATACTTAAATAACTTTGAGTTGGTCTTTAAAAATTAATGACGTTGATGATGGAATTGATACATTGAACATGGTTGTTAGGAGTAGAGTACTATTAACATCTCGTAAACAAGCCAGTTGTTCAGTTGAGTTTGTCATGTTACTTCCAACACGCCATGCAAGATCATTTGTTATTGAATAAGCAACTTGCTTGTCATACATATAAAATGGAATATCACAAGATCCACTTTCCATTATTCCAGCATGAAATAAGCCAGCCGATAATGGTGACACAATATGAAGACAAACTGAATAGGATCCAGCAGATTGTCCAGCTAGAGTGATCGAATTCTTATCACCTCCAAATTGTCCTATATTATCTTGGACCCATTTCATTGCCATACGTTGATCTGTGATACCTTGATTTGCAATAATTTGTCCATTTGAATCTTTCAAAGCTGATTGAGCGAAGAATCCCATAACATTGAGACGATAGTTAATAGTGACTATAATAAATGAATTATTCTCTTGAATAGCTTCATTTGTCCAACTAAGTCCATCATAGATAATCTGTGTCGAACTACCTTCTTGAAATCCTCCACCATGAATCCATAACATCACTGGATATCCCGTTGATGAAGTGGAAGGCGGAGCACGAGGCGCCCAGATGTTCAGATACAAGCAATCTTCATCAAATGGACCTGATGTAATACTCATTCGCTCAATTTGGGGACACGAGGGACTGTAATGGGTAGCATTTTGTATTGTACCATTATTGATGTCGCTTACAATATAAGGTTGAGCTTTTTGCCAGCGAAGTATTCCAACAGGTGGGGTAGCATAAGGAATTCCAATCCAGACATTTGTCTGTCGAATAGTGAATCCTACAAATTGGCCGGATGTTGTGGATACAATCGGTGAATCTACGGATTCGTTAGCAAACGCGTAAAGATTTCCTTTTAATCCAGAAACTGTTGAAAAAAAATACTATACAAGATAGGCACACAAGAAACATATTCACATAAACAATCATAGATGAAGTAAAAACAAGTGAATATCAATTCAATTTGATTTCTTTAGATCGATCAGATCTTGATAAGACAAGTATTGATAAGAAAACCAACTATCATAGCCAATATATAAGTACAGAGTTGTATGAGAAAGGAGTAACAACAACGCAATGCACATTTAAAAAGGTAATCATAGAAAATAAAGAAAAAAAACATGGGTGTCTTTTTTTTGCGTCAATATTGACATGAATCATCATGGATGTATGCATTAAGAGTGCAAAATATTACGAAAAAGTTCAAGGACGAATATCGATTACTTAGTATCCATGAGGAAGATGAGAAGCTTATACAAAAGCAGTTGGACTTAACTATCTGTATGATCTCACAATATTCGGGTTGTTACATGAGTCTTAAACAAATGCTTGTTGGATCAAACAAAACATTGTCAATTATATACTGGTTGCTTCTCTCGCGTAAACATTTGGAAAAACTATTAAAAATTGCCGATGATGTTTTTTTTTGTACATAAACACAAACTAAATGATTCTAATTTGATTAAAAAACTATTTTGGACAAGATGATTCTTCGGCAAGATAGTTTTCTTTGCAGTACACTTTTCAAAGAAATGGGTTTTCATGATCAATAAATAACTTTAACTATTATTGCTATGATGATACTCACGAGCAAATTTTAAAAGTTAAAGTCGTGTTGTCGCTTAAGGCGTCACCATGATGAATGTCAAATGGATCCGGAAGATCAGGACGAATGTTGAAAAGAAAAGAAAAGAATCGAATTTCATTTAAACTAAATTTTTGCTTCCTTATAGGAGATGAACAACAGGATGTTAGGCATATTTCATGGTGAATGCATCAATAATACATTTTGATGAAAAGTAAGAAACTTTACCTAAAAACCAACGAAATTTCCTATTATTTGAGCAAGTAAATGCATGAATTGGTTAGCTCAAATGTTAGGATATGAAAATACAATCATTCGTCTTGTATCTTGTATTATGTATCTGAAATCGTTCTGTTTCACATGCATGTCAAACTCAAAATTTTATTGAAGCTACATAGCATTACTAAACAGCTTTCGAAAAAATTCATAAAAATGCTTGGCTTGATGATAATTTTACCTTGCATCAAATTATATAAAAACATGTTCTAACCCTGTCTCTTTTGATTATTGAAAGCACCAAATAGCTAGCTATTCCCGTTATTGAAATATTCGTTTTACATCCGCTCTTACTAAATTCTCGCTTCCACAATAGTTAACAGAATCCAACCTGATGAACAGATTATCATTGACTGGATAAATGAACGAAAACGAAAAAATACTTCGGATAAGATAGGAGCCATTTGATAATCGATATGTACGAGAGACCAATAGTAATATAAAGAAAATTATTAATACATGTTAATAAATAGATAATATCAGATATGATGAAATAAATAAAGAGACAAGTTGTTTATATCTCACGAATTGTATATCGAAGAAAGATGATGATCCTATTGATATAACCAAGATATTCAAAAAGAAAGAAAGAAAGATAACTCTACAGAGCTAAAGTTCATGATAATTACTGGACGACCAGCGGCAACACCTGAATCGTCTAGTGACGAACTGTTTGTAAATAGACTAGGCTACATATCTTCAATAGTAGTAGAAGAAAGTGCAGAAAGCAAAGTACCAGTATACATTTTTGAATTTCTAAACACGGAGATGTTTTCCTATGCCAATGGTTTTATATACCTTCTATTCCTCTTAAAAATAATTTATAATTGATGTTGATAAATAGTTGTTTTCAATCAACCCTTCTGTTGGTAGTGGGCATGAACTGCTTGTTATATGGATAAGATTATCGTATATCAGTATTAGAATATCTGATCTTGGTATATGCAGTCAGAAACATTTCATATTTTTTGTCTGTCAATTTTTTTATTATAGAGAAAGTTATATTGTGTGCATTAGATTAGAAAGTGATGCACAAATAAATAAGCCTTTAAGTGTGCTGTTTTTGTATATTCATTTTTCTCTAATATCAAAATATGACTCGTTATTTTTGTAGAATTAATTGAATTTCAGTGTAAGGTCTATACAATCATAACATAGATATATAAAGTTTGTTATTTTATATTTGTTAAAATGTTTCGAGATTTGTGCAGGTATATTGTTTGTGATCTTCAAAAAATTAGATACAATTACATTCATTGAACTTCCAAGAAAAAATATATTATCAAATTTATGATCGAACTAAGATAATTCGATGAAATCCTAAAATTAGTAAACAAATTTTTTTTTTATGAAAAATTTGTTTTCTCTTCATCTATGACCTAACGATGTAAACATAAAACAGGAAAATAATTTCGACAAAACCATATGAAAATGAAACTTAATTCAAAGTACATATTAACTTATGTACAGAAATAAAAATGGAGAAAGAAAAAGCAATAAGGATTAATTTTATTGTTCACAATGTGAGTATAAAAACAGATATTATTATGTGAAGCGCGTAATTAAAGATGTAGATGTCTCATCAAGAATTTGGATTCTTAAAATATATTTTGGATTGATTGAAACATGAGCGACATTTAATAAATTGACTTTTTTGTATTGGTCTTTCCTTATCAGCAAACAGCTAGGTGTACATGATGATGCAAAAATGACAGACAAGCATTCAAAATATTCGAAAGAGTTGGTTTTATCATATATTGAATATAAATGGCAAAAGTAATGCGAGCAATTTTGGTCAAAGAATTTGGTATTACTATGTTGCTTGATCTTGGTTTTACAATCAATAATCATAAATCATGCATTTTTTTTTAATTCATAGGTGATGCAAATGTATGCAAATTAGTTGAAGATGTACCTATTCCTGAAGTAAAACCTCGAGAAGTATAATAGAAAATAAATTGTAGCATTATTCTGTTTTAAGTTTAATTTTAATTTTAATTAGGTATTGATTCATGTGCATGCTGCTGGTGTTAATCCTGTAGAAACATATATTCGATCTGGTACATATGCTCGTCGACCCAATTTACCATATACTCCTGGAGCTGATTGCGCTGGTGTTATTGAACGGGTTGGTGATGAAGTTACAAAGTTTAAGGTAATTTAAGTAATATCAATTGTTGAGAAAAATATCATCGGCAGAATTGAACTTTTCATAACTTGGTTAAATTAAATTAGTAATTTAACATTTTGAGAAATTTAACTTTCGAGAATTCCTTCTTAAATGCTTTCTTTCAATTTCTATGAATTTTTTTATCAATTTATACTAATTACATAGTATCTGTAGGCAATAGCAACATTGAAATCGGAAGGAAGCATTTGCATAAGTTTCCTTCTTGGTTGAAAACCAGTTATTCTCCAAAGAAAATGCATCATTGTTTTTATCTTATGATAGCATTGACCGAAAAATTTATTTTTTTGATTTAGGTTGGTGATCGTGTATTTACAGTAAATACTATTACAGGAACTTACGCTGAATATTGTGTTGCTAATTGTAATTCTGTTTTTCCTTTACCATCAAATATTTCATTTGAAGAAGGTTCAGCTCTTGGTACACCCTATTTTACTGCTTATCGAGCACTCATTATCAAGTAAGACAACGTCTATGTATTTATTAAAAGTAATTGTTTGTATTTTTTATTGCAACATTGGTGCATTTCAATTAGTAGTTATTATCTTTTTCAAGTTTCTTTTCCAAACAAATATTTTTCTAGAAGAACAGAAGAATTACCTATTTCATTTGAAGACTGAAAAGCAGTAAACATAGATGTTAGTGCTGGTGTTGACGGAAGATAAGATACTATTGATTGTTTTGAAAGATCAGAAGAAGCTATGATGATAGTAGGAACCAGTGAAAGTAGACATAGGTCTTCTTTTTTCTCCATACTCACGTCCTCAATCTCGTAATTTGTCACCTTATGCATATTTAGTGAGCATTTCAAACTAGAGAGAAGCAAGTAAGAGTACATACTTGCACCTTCTTAATCTGCAATCAAGATTTTAGACAAAAGAGATTATATCCTATAATAATGTAGAGAGTCGCTTGCGCAAAAACGATAAAATAATGAATTCGATTTTATCATTATGTCTATTTTGCTAAACTTGATCGTTGGCCACCTTCATACATAATGTATCTATTTTCCGATGTTTAAAAGAAAAACCTACATTTCTTATATTGAACTAAAAAACCAAGTGAAGGTAATTGAGAATGAAATGCATATTTAACAGTTATTCGAATTTAATAATGATATATTTCAGAATATAGAACGAATTTATCTTTGTAATTGTCAGTGTTCAATCTAAGAATCAGATCATTCTAACATCTGTGTTTGAACTATTCAAAATGTGAATCGAGCAAAAAATTACAATCAAAACAGAATTTTCATTTCTGAAATTGATGTTGGATATCATAATTTTTATTCATGAATTACAACAAGTTCGATGGTATTTACTTTCATAATATTCGATTCAAAATTCAGAGTTAGATGGACAAAGATTATAAGTAATTAGTTTTAATTGTCAAACAAAATTCCATAAAAAACTATTTCTAACTATTTCAATCAAACTTTCATTTATCGATCGACTATGTAGAAAGTAATAATCGTCACCGCGTTCTTATTTCTCAGAAAAACAGGCTCGAAATTTCACATTAATTTTAGAGTTAAAATTATATTTTGATTCCAATTTTTCGTATGATCCAGATTTGAACCGGTTTAAATTTAGATCTTAGATTCGAAAATGGCATATACCATTTAATATTACTATGTAATAGAGGAAAAAGTAAAGATATGTCTGGAACTGATTAAGAATGAGATAAATCCTTGAAATCGATGAATCTTTTTTCTTTGGACTTCAATAAACAGACAAACAATTTAAATGATTATAATATCCAAGTAAAAGTACAAATACAACTAGCAGAGTACTTAATAAAGCATGGTGATTATTCATTCTATTATATTGATATATTTCAATAATAAATGTTAAACAAAATGAATAGAGGAGAGAATACAACCACAATAAGAAAAAAAAGACTTTTTATCATCATTTTTTATTTCACAGAGGTCATGCAAAACCCAATGAAACAGTTTTAATTCATGGTGCTAGTGGAGGAGTAAGTTAATGGAAAGAATTAAGTATGATTGACTAGATTAGCATGAATTTTATTTATGATAAAATAGGTTGGTATTGCAGCTGTACAATTAGCAAAATCGCTTGGTTTACGTGTTATTGGTACAGCCTCTAGTGAACAAGGTTTACAAGCGGTGCGTAATCAAGGTGCTGATCTTGTATTTAATCATAAACAAGAAGGATATCTTAAAGATATAGCAGTAGGATATTTCTTTTATTTTTTATTCTTAAATATATATCATTTAATAAATAATTAATTAGAATGCTTCGATAAATAATGAAGGAGTTGATTTAATAATTGAAATGTTAGCAAATGTTAATTTAAATAATGATTTACAATTGCTTAGATCAAAAGTTGGTCGAGTTGTTATTGTTGGTAATCGTGGTACAGTTGATATTAATCCTCGACTTTTAATGGCGAAAGAAACAAGTATTTATGGTGTTATTCTATTTGGTTCAAGTGAAGTAAGATAAAAAATTATAATTAATATTATTTTGGTATTCTATTAAATTAGGATGAAATGTCAATGATAAATGCTTATTTACAAAGTGGTCTTAAAAATGGCATTTTAAAACCGTTTCTTGGTCGAATATATCCATTAGAACAAGCAGCACAAGCTCAAACCGATGTTATTTTTAATAGTGGTACATGTGGAAGACTTACACTTAAAATATAGAATAATTATATATAGTGTTACTTTAAAAAAAAATATTCGTCTTATATTAATAGAGATTATACGTTTTTTTTTTCGTTTTTTCTATCTTCATTATGGAATAGTTGCGAATATTGATTATTGATGATTTCTTCATAAAATAAAATAAAAACATGTTCATCTTTATATTTGCCATAAATAAAATTTTTTATCGAGATAATTGAATGCATAATATAATTTTCAATAGATTGTAATTTAAAAATTCGATAGTTTACACAATTATAATAAACGATATTATCTAATGAATTCATAGAGGATTGATATTTAATTCTACTTTGAAATTTATATAATCGAATAATAAAATCTAATAAAGACTATTCTTTGTCAATTGATACAAGACTCTTGGAAAGACAAATATTGACAATATGAAACCTAAGTATACAACAACCATATTAAATTATACAATGAATATGTCTAGTATCTCATCTATGGTAATTGTCAAATTACATTGACTTTGATAGGTTTATTCTTTTATTGTTATTTATCGAACATTTCATTCAAAAATTATTTTTTAACGTTTTTTTCTTGACTTACATTGTTCTGATATCCTTTTTAAACGAAAAGGAAGATTTACAAGGAAACCAAACAAAAAAAATACTTGAATAAGAATTAAACTTCTAACTAATAGTTCATCTCACCTCTCGTATATGTTAAATTTATTGTACTTTTTCTCTTGATACTCTTTCCTTTTCTTTTAGTTTGTTCTGTTTTTTTTTCATCGATGATATTCAGTTTATCACATACACACACTTCTCACTTAATATCAAGATTTGTGTTTTATTACCTTTTCAAATAAAAAAGACAACAATAATATCGTAAAGCTAGTCTAAAGATTTTTTACTTCTTGATAATGATTAAAATAATTCGATTTCTAAATATATTTCAACTGTTGGTTATTTTTGGTTTATTTTTATCGTTGATTAATGGACAAAATAATCGAACTACAGTAAGTTATTTTTATCAAAAAGAAAATATTTTTTTTTACAAAAATAGTTTTATTCAGTGTTGGTCTTCAACAACAGTATATAAAATCATACCACTTGATGATAATAATAATACTCATTGGGAAATAAATTCTACTGAAATAGAACTTGTAAAAGAATGTCATCTATCATTCGTACAAAAAATTACTAATAAGACATGTTCCCAATTAGCAACTTCATCTGCGAGACAACCATCATTTGCACAAAGTAAGGCAGTAAATTTTAATGAAGTCTTTTTCTTTTTTTTTATGATATTTCTTTTTTTTTAATCTTTAGAATATGGTTATGGATTTTTAGCTGTTTTTATCATAAGTGCTCTTTCATTAGCTGGTTTTATAGCATTTCCATTAATGAAAAAACCTTATTATAAATATTTAAATGCATTTTTTACGGCACTTGCTGTTGGAACACTTTTTGCTGATAGTGCATTTGAACTATTTCCTGTTGTATGTATTTTTTTTTTCTTCTATATTTCTTTTGATTTTTTTTTGATGTAAAAGATTATTGAATATGGTTTAACATCATCTCATATGCATCAACATGGTCGCCTAAAACCAAATGAACAATCAAGTGGAAAATTACAAGTACCTATTTTCCTTTGGCAAATGGTTGTTCTCGTTCTTAGTAAGTAATACTTTTGATTGTACTTGAAATATTCTTTCTCTCATCGTAGCTGCTTATGTGTTTTATGTTATTGAACTTACTATACATGCGTTCATGCATGGTCGACATCATCATGCAAAAGTATATATACTTAGTTTGATTGATACTTGTTTTAATATGGTGTGAAGCAAACCATTAATGTAGTCATTTGCAAGCTTTTTTTGTTCTTTGTAATGCATTTTGAAGTACAGTATTTATGTAGACTAACGCTAGTATATAAGGTGCGACGTCCCTATATAATGGCTCGTCATTAGTTCTTCGTTCTTTTCTTCTTAGTAGACGTACACATCAAAATTTGTCATGTTGTATAGTGATGATATCACGAAAGAAATGTCAAAAAAATATTCGTTCGAATGAAAGATAAAAACATTGGGATCAAATTAACGCCGTCCGTTTTCTAATCTTTAGTAGAAAGTATCGTTTGTCCATAGGGAACCCGAGTAAAAAACCAATTGTTGTGAATTTTGTTCTTTTTTCAACATTCTCAAGGTTATGAAAATGAAGCTGACAATAGACTCTAGTCACTTTCCTCATTGAACAAGAATTTTTGTGTATAACAGCTGATAAATGAACTCTTTTAGTGATGAAATTCACAATGTAACCTTTCTAAGTATAACGAAACATAATAATTTCATTCTATTAAATTGTAAATATTTTTTTTTTTTGAAGAAAGTATTTCGGGTCTTAATCGTGCAGAATGATTGTTTGACAATTTTCAAAAGTAAGGAGAATGGACGACAGTTTTGTAGACGGGTATCAAAAGTAGAAGGGTGTCACGACGCTGAACACCTGGATAAGCAGAATATGTATTAATTTTGAAAAATTAGAAATTAACCGGAATAGAACAATTTTAACTTTTTGAATTTTTTTAAAAACTGTTTATCATCATTAGGATTCATATACTTTTAATGATTTTTCATTACCTGAAAGAAGTGAATTACCGAGTGAAACATTATCAAAACCGAATGGTAAAATGTCGATTATTTCTACTAATACTTTACCTAATTTAACTATAACGGCTGACGAACGACAAACAAAAAGCAAGAATAATTCAATGAAAACATCATTACAAAAATTCATTTTTAAATCTTGTATAGGTACTGGTTGGATGATAATTATTGGTGATGGTATTCATAATATAGCCGATGGTCTTGCTATTGGAGCAGCATTCTCAGAAAATATTATGTTTGGTGTGACAACGGCAGTTGCTATTGCATGTCATGAATTACCAACTGAACTTGGTTTGTTAACAATTATTTTTATATCATTGTCTTAAATTTTGTTCTATATTCAAAGGTGAATATATGGTTTTGATTGAATCGGGTTTTACTTTGCGTCGAGCACTTCTTTTCAATTTTGTTTCGGCTTGTACAGCTATTATTGGCTTTTTCATTGGAGCTAGTGCCGCTCAAAATGAAGCTGCTCGTACATGGATTTTTGCTATTACTGCTGGTACATTTGCATATATTGCTCTGGTTGATTTAGTAAGCTAGTTTTATTATACTTTCTTTATTAATGATAATGATGTTTTGCTGATTATTTTCTAGTGGCCAACATTGATGCCTCACACAGATAAATTTGATTGGATTCGATTTATTTGTGTTACTTTGGGTTATTTATCGGGTGTTTTAATTATGTTTATTTTAACAATCTTTGAAGAGCAAATTGTTGCGCCAACAGGAGGAAATTAAAAAGCTGTGATATTGATTTTTTTTCAAAATAAGTACATACTCAATAAATAGAATTTAGATCACACTATTCATTAATTAGCATTTTATCACAAGAGTTTATAAGTCATGCTATCATAAAAACAGTTGTATGGATTTATTCTTGTTGGTCTTATACGAAAAGAACACTTCGGAAAAGTGAAAAAGTTTATTGAATTCTATTTAAAACACACAAAAAAACATCAGTCAAATAATTATCTCGGTTTCCGAACTAAAACAAAAGCATTAGTTCTATTAATAATTAGTTTCGCCTGTCTGCAGACAGATAAAATGTTATTGATAATTCCTTGCATAATAAAAAAAACGATAATAATCATTTTAAAATAATGATATTAGGTGTTTTTAGCAGAAAATGCGTTGGAATCAATATTGTATTGATCTTAACATATGGAAAAGCTAGATACAAAATTTTCTTTTTCAACATTGTTATAAGTATCATCATATCATACTCACAATGATCATCTTGTGTCCAGTAATTCAGTCAGAGCGTTTTGCAAAATATCATATTATTGTTAAAAAAAAATAAAATATGAAGAATTAAAACTGAATGTAACAGTTGTGTTTCAAAAAAGAAGCATGATGTCAATATTTCAAAGTAAAACGGAACTACAACATCTGACCGTACTTCACGGTACTGAAGTCGTGTTTTTTGTCCGTTGCCTATTCTTCATCATAGATTCGCACTACTTGTGTAAAAACTTCAAGTCTTCATATGATTAAATACACTAACCGTGGTTCATATGATGATATGAAGGTATGTATTACAAGAGTCGATATCATTTAGAATTCTGTTCATACACGTGTTCACAATTAGGACTTCAACGAAGAGTACATTTGACAGAAAATATCAATTGATCATGATGAATAATGTATTCATGTTTTCCATACTATTCTCTAGAATCAGATGTTTTAACCAGATATTTTTATAGACCTTTTTTTTATCTTTTCTCATAAAAAAAGAATTATCAAAATTTTTTATTTGGAATGAGTATAATAATCACGAAAAATACTCTAAAATTCGTAGATCATGTCTGATGAATTGCTTTTTTCTAAACAACTATTCTTCACTAACAAGCTTAAGAAATGTTTTTTTTTTCTATTTTGAGATAACATTCTGTTAGTTGTAGCTTTTTTAAAGTATAATGTTTTATCTTATTCTATACACTTTATTCAAATAATAGCATGCTTATCATCAAAAGAACAAACTTAGAATACTATATATATTAGATTTTACTCGAAATGTATGACTAATATAGATCAATTTACAAAACCAGTTTGTTTATTATTTATGTATAGTCTATTGTTAGTTCATATAAATGCAGAAGCGAAAACAAAAACATTAAAAATCACTTTTAAAACAATACCACGTAGTATTACTCTTAATCTAAATTATAGAAAATTTCATATGACAATGTAAATTATAACAATTATGAATTTGATTTCATTATAACTTTAAACAACTTTTATGGATCATTTATTCCAAAAGATTATTGATACCACAGATTTGAAATTAGTAGATTCAGATGAACATAATTCTGATTTGACGATTGCTGAAAACAAACTGTTCATGCTTAGTAAATTGGTTAATCTATTTTTCATTTTTCTTTTAATCTTTTGAATATAATTATGGTTTTTTTTTACTATCTTCGACAATTACTTATTCTTGTTATCAGTGAGTGATTTATTCAATTAATATCAATAAATATATATTATTCAGTGTTTTCATAACTGTTTAATTATGTTCTTCAACTGTTGATAAAGGTTTTATGAATTATTAAAATCAACAAACTATGTAAATAGATATACTTATGATAGCTAAAGATTTTGGATAAAATATGAATACCTCTTATAATAATTAACAACAGCTTCAAATGTGTACTATTTGTTATTCTTTTCAATTTTTAACATTTAATCAAATGTCAAAATAAGGGAAAGGATGAATGTTTAATGTAAGCCTTGGTAAAGTTTCATCTATAAATATCTATCATCTTACTAATATGTAACACTACGTAATTCATAATCCCAAATTTACTGTTTAATTACTGATCGGTTTGAATATCTTTTATAAATTATCATCATATGTATATTGTTAATTTTATTCAATTATTGATTGGAGTTTGTCAAGAATTACTAAACAAATTCCGTTTTGTTTTAATATTTTTTTAATATTTTTATGTTTTGTAGTAGAGAAATTATCTTTTATTAGTAATGAATATATTGATTGATTGATTGTTTTTGTTGTTGACAATCAAGACTAATGCTTGAATCAGATGGATACAATTGGACATGTTTCATTTGTGTCAGTCCAGATTGTTTCCTAAGTATTTTTGTTATATTTAGCTTAGTAATCTTGATAAAAGAATTAGTACCAAAATTGTACTATGATTGAAAATTTAAGTATAAATACGATCAATAAACAGTTTTCATATTTTATTGATATAAAAATAATCACAAAATACCTTATGAACCAACAAAATATTCTCTGAAGATTAATTCAAGATGGAAATACATTACACAATAATTGTATAGTAACTTCCAATATAGAATTTTGAACAGAAAAGTTTATCTTTATAATGTCTAATTGTTGCTGAGGCTACTTCTTGATTGCAGACACCAATTAAGGGAAAATGTCTGCAAAGCAGAATCGGGGGTGAGAGACAAAAATGGCCGCTAACTAGAACAGGTTCACTTTGTGGAATCAAGATTTATTTATTATATGAAAAGAATACACAAAAAAAATCATTAATGAAAGACAAATGAACATTTAACTTTGTTGAGGTTCATAGTCAAGATCATCCTTGTCAAATGTATCGAATGCATTGATATATCGATAACCAAGTGAACATAATCTTTGTTGATAATCTTTAAGATCCAATAGACCATCTAAATAATCTTGTTTTGCTTGAATTCGTTTACTTTCGCTTCTGTCCAAAATGCAGAGGTTTTTCTCTCCCTCATTTCCACTTTGCAGTCATTTTTTGTCTCTCTTCCTCGTTTCCATTTTGCAGTCATTTTTTTCTCTCCCCCCCCCTGATTCTGCTTTGCAGTCACCAATTAAGAGAAAATGTCTGCAATCAAGAAGACACGGTTGCTGATTGTCTATCTTATAACATATCAATTGTTTTTGAACATTCTTTTTATGTTATTTTCAAATAACTCCGGTTTTACAAACTTTTAAAAAAGTATGAATGAAAAATAATCACAAAAAAGAGACTAAATAGAAAAATGAAAAATTTGAACACACAAATAAAGCTAAATAAGATTATTTTAGTGATTGGTTAATTAAACATGTTCAATTATTTTTGATTTTTTTTTTATCCAAAATGAGGTGTGTCACGCATATCTTCATGTACACTTAAATGTTCTGTGACAATATCATTAAGTGATGGTTCTTCAAGTGCATCAGCTGCATAGCCATCATATGTTGAACTAAATAAAAAGAAAAAACGAAAAAAAGAAATTCATAATAGTATTATACATGCATAAAAACTTACGTATCTTTTTCAGGAAAAAGATCTCGTGCATTACTTGCTGCTAAATCAGCTTGATGAACAAGTGATGGAATAGCTTCACTAGTTGATGAACGTGGATCAGTAAAACATAAATAATAAGTTAATAATTGTAATTCATCAGCCGTAAATTTTATTTCATCATAAAGAACATGATAAAGTGCTGGACGATTTGTACCTTGAAGTGCTTTATGAGAATTAAGGAAAAAGCTAAATTGGCCAGGATGTACAACATCTGTATCAACAACAAGTCCAGGAGGAATATTAGCTGTTTTATTATGATGATCAAGAACGAAAAATCGTGTATGATGACGTTTTTTAACAACAATAAAAGTTAATGATGGCAACGGTTCATTTTCATAAACCTCTAAAAAACATAATATAGATAAGATATTTTTATATTAAATTTCAAAAACAAACAAAAAAAAGAAAATTCACCTTGAAAAGCTTGTTTTATTTGTGGAATTTCAAAATTAAGAACACGTGCAAATTGTCCATCATCAACTCCTATTGATAGATAAACAAAAGTTACTTTTATATAGATAAACTTTATTATTTACCATCTCTATAGAAAACAATTTTATTTGGTAATCGACGATTTCCTTCTCGATAATATTCTAATAATTCAGTAACCATTTGTTTTAAGTCAACTATAGCTTCAATAGCACATTTTCCATTTTTTGGCCATTGTTTACAAACTCGAACAGCACTTGTTGAACATACAGCATCACCTGAGCCAACAACAGCTGCAATAGATGGTTTATCTTGTCTACATACAGGATGAATAACATCAGCACCCATAAATTGCCATGCATCTTCAGTTTTTGATGCTGCTGATGCAACAATACCATTATTTGTATTGATTGGTAATTCAACTTTTGTATTAATACCTTGCATTTTAAAATTAATTTTTCTTAATAAATTTTCACACATATTATCTAATATACGATCAGGATGACCACGTTGTGTACGTTGAAATTTATCCATTTGTTCTTGAAGTTTTGAATATAATAGACATTGAGTTGTTATACCTATTAGAAAAATAAATATGATAATGAAAATGAATTAATATGAAAAATTTTCAATACCATATTTGACAGTTCCATTTAATTTAATACTAGGTCGTAATTCATTCCAAGAGCTATCCATTATACAAATAACTAATTCACATTTTTGTTGTTTTCTATGAGTAAAACATTTTTCAATAGAATTTAAATTTTGTTCACGATCTTGTTCATTCTCGGATATCCAAACAATGTCTTTCTGAATTGTTTGAATCGGTCCTAAATGAAATATTCTAGCCATCTAAAGCAAACAGAAAAAATAAATAAAAAAAAAAGCAAAAAGTAAAAAAAACAATTTACTTTGTTAAATGATTCAACAAATTTTTCCATTAATGCTTTTCTTGGTGGGGATAATGGTGGTGGTGGTGGACCGAAATATACAAATGCAATCGATTTTAGTTTATATGGATCCACAAATTTTCCTTTTAAATTTATACGTCCCATTGTTATTTCAGCATGATTATTATTGATAATTGGAGGAGGAAGAATACGAGCTTTGATTAATTTCATTTCATGATCATCTACAGTAAATTGAACAGCTTTGCAAAGTGGTAATGTTGGTGGTGATTGATAACTACATGATTGAACTGATGACATTATATCTTTGTAACGTTGATCAGGTGTTGGAATTGAAAGATTTTGACGATTACGTTGTTCATTAGGAGACTAAAATTTTCGATGATTTTCTTTTCTGTTTTTAAAAATTTATATATAGTCAAAACCAAAAGTTTAAGTGAAATTAGTTTTTCAGTATTTTTTTTTAACATTTTGTTTTACAATTTTTTTTTCTTCATATTAAGAGGTATAGATCTGATTCAAATGATGATATAGATAGTACGAGAGGCCAACTACATGATGTATTATAGAACG